TTTATTATGTATACAATATTCTGTCTGTGTGTATACCTGAAGGCCAGAAGAGGGAGCCAGACCTCTTTACAGATGGTTGTGAGCCACCATGTGGTTGCTGGGAATTGAACTCAGGACCTTTGGAAGAGCAGGCAATGCTCTTAACCACTGAGCCATCTCTCCAGCTCCCTCTCATTAATTTTTGTAGCTGAGTAAATAACAAAGTTAATTCTGAATCATCTGGAATAAGTTCAACAGTTGCAGTATGCAAAACAACTTTCTGCATATTGAGAGTCAGTGACTATATTATTTAAGAGGTTTTGGAAAATCTAATAATACCATGAGAATGACATATAATTCTGATTTCTGAACTGAATCATTACTTAATTTTCCTGATTTTTATAATATGCCTTTCCTGATTTATTTGCATCAGCATAGAATGTAAGGGCTCCAGAAATTGGTGTTCCCTTTATTATATGAGGGAGAATTCAACTAGTTCTTTATTTTTATAAACTAAAGTCTTTTGTTTGGGGGATATTTGTTGCTAATCTCTCCCAAAAACTTACTGCAAGCTCTTTACCAGTGTCCGTTTTTTTTTTTTTTTTTGCCCATAATGAGGCAATTTTAGGATTGGTACAAGGTACCACAATTTCTGCTGATTGACAAAGTCTTAATTTTCTTTTCAGAATCAATTCAGAAACCTTTTCTGCGTTAGCTCTTTATTTTTTACTCTGTTTTGTGTGCTAAAAATATCCATTCTTTGTTCTGCATAAGATTCCCTGTAGGAGAATGAGTAGAAAGTAAAATAACTAGACTTCAGTCTACATGTACATCCTACCAGGGCCAGTTTTCTCTTAGCCTCAGCTGAGAGTTTTCTTGAACTATTTAAGACTTTGCACCTTTTAAGGTTTGAAATAAATTAGTTATTGTGTTGTTAATCCAGTTGTGGGCTGTAGCCAGTTAATATTGCCCAGCAATTTTTGAAAATTGTTTAGAGTTCTAGAGAATTACACAAATAAGAACATTTAAAGAATAAGCAATGCCAGGAGTGGTGGCGCGGGCCTTCAGTCCCAGCTCTTGGCAGGCAGAGGCAGGCAGATCTTTGAGTTTGATGCCAGCCTGGTCTACAAAGTGAGTTCCGGGACATCAAGAGCAACACAGAGAAACTCTGTCTTAGGGAGAAAAAAAGATTTCAGGAAATAGGTAGTTTTTCCTACGTCCTGCAGCACATAAGCTCAATATGACCTTTAAAGTCAGTGCTTTCCCACACCCACCTGCGGATTTGCAGGCCCAGCAGGGGTCTCAGTGCAGCAGTGCTGTTGACCACTCAGTATTTGCTAGTGTGACGATTTTAGAGGGCCTGTTGAACCTATGTTGTCCAGTTTCAGACCAGAAGCTTTCATTAAAGTACTGGTTATTTTAATATTCCATTTTTATTCTGTGTGGCATAGGACCTGTGATTCTGTGTTAACTTAGAATTCGCAGAATGTTGGGTTCTCCATCCTAGGTTAGGAGAGGCCAGTCTTGTTTCCACCTCTGTTCTGTGCTATCCTCACGTGAGTCTTCAGAACAGTGGGTATCTTCTCTTCCTGTAACAGGAATTTCCATACTTCTCCATCACAGCTTTTGTAGTCAGTTTGTAGAATTTGCTCCAATCAGTTTTACATTTCTTTTTCCATCCATCCTGGGATGTTGGGGGTGTGGTATAGCTCCGTCTTATGAAGATAGCTGGTACCTGCTATGGGGTCAAGGGTGCAACTCTCTGTCTAGAAGACAGCACCCTTCCCCTTACTTCAGGCCGTACATGTTTCTGTTCTCTTTTCCTCAGTGTTCCCTGAGCCCTGGAAGGTAGGTTGCCGGGAGTACAGGGAGAATGCTCATCAGTCACTGTCAGCACTTAAACTAGTCATGAGCTTCTTCTGTATTATCTGCTACCTACTGCAAACAGAAGTTCTCTGACAAAGTTTGAGAGCAGTGCTAATTTATGGAGTGAATTATGGCACAACTGTACTGATTTGAAAGGCCTTTTAGATCCTTCTGACTCTAGTAGTCCCCATTTGGTGCTAGGGATTATGGGGAGGGGCAGATGAGAACTATTTGTCTATGCAGACACTGGCTAAGTCCTCTGGTAGTTGTTGGTACTCCTGCACCCCACTTTGACTTGCGTGAGGAGCAGCACTGCCCTTGCTCTCTCCCCTAGGCAGCTTCATTTGGTTGATGGTGGTACCCTTTAGTCTGATTTGTATTTCTCAGTAGTGGGGTCTTGTGTTTGTAGCCATTATTGCAGTACTTTGTGCGGAAAGTCTTTGGACAAGCAGGCAACACTTTAAGAGATCTAAACTTCAAATTCCTCTGAGAATGCCCTTGTCTTGGGCGAATCTTTGGCAGTGGAAACTAATGTTAACCTGTTTCCTAGTGAATCCCACCTGCTCCTATCTGCACAGACTTCCACACAATGAAGTTGTCTTTAAGCTGAAAGGCTAAGGTGGAAAGATATGTGCAAAAGATGCATTAAAAGGTTATGAATGTAAAACACATCTGGTGGTGGTACCTCATGCCTCTAATCCCAGACTCAGTGGATCTTTGTGATCCACAGAGGGGGTTACAGGATAGTCAGGACTACGGAGAAAACCTGTCTTGAAAACAGAACAAAAGAAAGCAAGGTATTGATCTTTCTGCTTTAGGTTTATATTTGAAGGAAATTATAATGGGGAGCATCTTAATTTGTTGTTTTGTTGTTTGGAGAGATTTTTGTTTGTTTGTTTTTCGAGACAGGGTTTCTCTGTACAGTCGTAGTTCTGTCTGTACTGAAACTCACTCTGTAGGCCATGTCTGGCCTTGAACTCCCAGAGATCTACCTGCCTGTATGTGCCACCACTGCCCGGCTAATTTATTGTCCAATCTTGTTCAAATACAAAACTCCACTTGGTTTACACAGTAGGGAATGATAGATGAAATGCCACTGAATTAGACTTTGATGAGTGTAGTCTTACATTTTATAAAAAATATATAATGCTGTCTTTCTTACTTTTGGTCTTTTAGTGTTTTATTAAGGTTTAATTGTATTTTTCCATATGAGGTTTTGCATGTGTTTATGCTCATATGTGGCTTCACAGGCATGTTAAGGCCTGAAATTGATGTCAGAAATCCCCTATATCATTCTCTCACCATATTCTTTGAGTTGGAGTCTTTGAGGTAAATGTAGAACTCTCCAGTAGGGCTAATCTGGCTAAGAATTCTGGGGAATTCCATGTTCTGCCTTCACAGGAGAGTCCTGCTTTCCCCATCTGACAATGCATCGGTTTCTAGGGATCCAAACTGAGGTCCTCAGGCTTACAAGGGAGTCATCTCCCAGCCCAGGTTAAAGCTTATTTTAATTGAGGATTTTTACCTTGTCTTTTGTTCTTTGTGGTGCTAGGGATTGACCAGGGCCTTACACAGTAGCTTAGGGCTACACAGCCAACCCAAGCCACTTACTGAAAACGCACACACACTCACACACTTTTCAAGTCAGGGTTACTTTGTGTAGTTTCAGGACCTGTCTGTCCTGGAACTAGCTCTGTAGACCAGGCTGGCCTTGAACTCACTGAGGCAGAGATCCTCCTACCTCTGCCTACTGAGTGCTGGGATTTAGTGTCTGGGCCACCACCACCTCTGCCTACTGAGTGCTGGATTTAGGGTCTGGGCTTTGTCAACTTCTGGGGGTTTTGTTTGTTTGTTGTCTTACCCAAAGACAGTGCTGTGTGGAGACTGGAGAGAAGGCTCTGTGGTAAGAACACTTGCCGTTTTCACAGGGACCTGGGTTTGTTTACCAGCACTGAGTGGTGGCTAAGATCATTCTTATCTCCAATTCCAGTGTTCATGTGTTCTGATGGTACCAGGCATCCATAAATGTAATCAAAATAGTCACATACATAAAAATGAACAAATGTTTAAAAAGTGCCATGTCTCTTCATAGAGGAATACTGTTGAGCAACAAAAGGAAGTAAATAACTGATGTTTGCTACCCAGCATGAGCCTCAGTCTTTATGCTCATTACTAGAGTGCTTTGGGGTGGGGGATGGCTCAGTTGGTAAAGGGCTTGCATAGGCTTACGGGCCTGAGTTCCGATTCCTAGCACCCTCATAGAGAAAGGGCCTGGTGTAGTGGTGTGTGTCTGTGATCCCAGCACTAGTGAGTCAAAGCCGGGCCAGCCATTCTGCCAGATTGGTGAGTGCCAGGGTCAGGAAGGAAACCCAGTATTTTTTATTTAAAGACAGTAGAGGGCTGGAGAGATGGCTCAGCAGTTAAGAGCACTGCCTGCTCTTCCAAAGGTCCTGAGTTCAATTCCCAGCAACCACATGGTGGCTCACAACCATCTGTAATGAGGTCTGGTACTGTCTTCTGACCTGCAGGCATACATATGGACAGAATACTATATACATAATAAATAAACATTTAAAAGAAAAAGAAAGTAGAGAGCTATTGAGGGACATACCTGATTTTGACCCCCTTGCCTCCACACACGTGCATATAAGTGCATGCACATCATGCGTTTTCCCAAACACACAGGCTGAGACCACTTGATATGAGTCACACACATAGTTTAGTGTTTAGGACTGTAGGAGTGGGAGGGACATATGAAGTCACTACTCAGAGTGTGGGATTTCTTTATGGAGGATGAAATTGTTCTGAGTTAGGAGGTGATGTTGCAATCCAAAAAATAGAATTGTGCACTTAAAACATTAAATCATATAGATTTGAAAATTTTTAAAGACATATATAGATATTTATTCATTATTTTATGGGTGTTTTGCCTCTGTGTGTATAGTATGTGCAGTGTGCCTGCCTTGTGCCTGCAGATGTAAGAGGATGAAAGTGGATCTATTAGAACTGGAGTTACAGATAAATTGTTATTTAAGACATATGGAGAGATTCATTTGGGTCTGTGAGCATGAGTCCCAAAGTGATGCACATTGGTTGCCTTATAAGGAAATTCTTTTTTTTTTAAAGTAAACATCCATCTGTGCCTATAAAATTGTATTCCATTTTACACATGGAAATAATATTTGGAAAAATTGTAGATTTCATGGTGAAATAAGTTACATAATAAAAATACTAATAAGTCCTTTCTTATTTTACTATGACCAGGTTCTTCAAGGGTTAGATTATCTACACAGTAAATGCAAGATAATCCACACTGACATAAAGCCGGAGAACATCTTGATGTGTGTAGATGATGCGTACGTGCGAAGAATGGCGGCCGAGGCTACTGAGTGGCAGAAAGCAGGTGCTCCTCCTCCTTCTGGGTCTGCAGGTGAGGGAGCTGAGCCCTCATTGCTTCAGTCCACTTGGGGGCTGGAAGCTTTCAGACTTATGCCTTGAAGACAGTTGAGTTTGATGTGTACATATTAGTAACTTTTTCTAAGAGTTTGGATACTGAAAATAACTTTTTTTTTCCAAGAAGATGCCCTAGTTAATTTATTTTTAATTGTTTGTGCGATCTTTACCCTCCACTGAGCATGTAAATTCTCAGCTGCTGTTTCTTCTGCACAGGAGCATGCTGTGCAGTCAAAGTCTCTGGAGAATAGGTAGCAGGTTTCTTGTAGCCTACCTGCAGTCATCTGAGTTTTTTCTGACTTAGGTTTTATAAAAAACTCTTTTTCCTCTCTTAAGTTAATGTAGTTGCCCCCATCTCAGTCTGACTGATACATTTGGTATTAGCTGTGAAAGAGTGAGGGATGTGGAGTGGGAAAGGGGATCAGGTCATGAGCCGTAGCATAGTTTTTCTTCTGAATTTCGTAGAATTTATTGGTGGCAGTGAGGAGCTGGCTGTGCGTTCAGTGCAGTTACATTGCCTGTGTGCTGGTACAATGCTGAACAGATGTGCAGACTATAGGTCTTGTGACCTCGTCAACGGCCATCGTGATGGTCTTAGCTCATGCAAGCGATTCACAGTTTTTATGCTTGTAATGCTGACTTTCAGACTCATTGCTGAATGTGCTGTGCTGTGTGATTTAACTCTGTGATGCTTTCCAAGTAGTTTTTAAACATAGCTATGTGCCCTCTCTTCTGAAATGTTGATTGCCTTGTTTGTGAAACACATTTGGTTCTATGACTGACTTATAAACTCTTCTTCCATTTCTTTTTCTTCTTTCTGCTGTTTTCTCAATTTTCCAGTCATTGATTTGAGAGAGGCTGCAAGATGAGTGACTTTATATATGAACAGCTCCTTCTGTGTCCTGGAAGAGTCAGTCATGTGCCTGCATTGCATAATCTTTTTCTAGGTTCCTATCTTTAGAAATCTCAAAGGTTTAAGTTTTTTGAAGTTGTGAAGTTAGGTAGTTATTAGAAGACAGTATTATTTCATGTTACAAATCAGATTGTCTGTTTTTCTCTGAACACCCGTTTTGTTTTGTTTTGTTTTAGTGAGTACGGCTCCACAGCAAAAGCCTGTAAGTATTTTTACATGTATATTCAGCATGTCAGCAGGGACTTTTTACTAGTGAGCTTCACAAATTATATAGCAAATGTTGTTGTCTTAACTAATATAAAAGTGGACATATTTATAAGTGCTCCATATCTGCTGCCCCACTCCCCCAAAAAAGAAAAACCTTGACTTCAGGTATGGGAATAGCAAAGCTACTGCAAGACCAGTCTCCTGTGTTCTCTGGGCTGCAGTTGGCCAAGTTCAGTGAATTGCAAGGTTTTAGATCAAGTTAAAAAGAACCTTTTAAAAATTACTTCTGCTTGACCTCCAAGTATCTTATTTTATAGCTAGCTGTTATGTGTGAGTGGGCATTCTCTTTTGTCTTGGAAGAGAAATTCAAGTCTGATGAGTTGTTGCCAGAAAAATCTAAATCACTTTCATAGTTCTACCCTGATTTAAGGATTTGGACTATGGTGCTTTAAAGGTTCTTGCTGCTGGTTGCCAGTGCTTTCTAAGGTATATGGCTGTAGCTGGAGGTTGGCAAAACTGTGGCTTTTTCTTTTTTGTCCTTTTATATTATATTATTATTTATTAAAATTAATGTTATATTGGCTGTTGGTGACAGCTTGGTTTAAGAGCCAAACTCAGCGCTGTTGGCCACCTGTCTTGGTAGGTGTTTGTGTTGTTGAGGAGCGAGAATGTCTGGATAGAAGAGATTCTTGCTAAGAGCAAGGTCTTTCAAGATGCTCAGTTCTCCTAGACTTTCTAATGGAAGTTATGTACCTTCAAGGGGAAGCCCAACAAAGTATAAGCACAATCCTACCCTAAGGTAGATCTTCTGACAGAGTTTGTGACTATAACTAGAACTAGAGTAGGAATTTGCCATGTTGCCAGAACTTATATTCTTGAATAGTGTTTTAAGAAGAAGCACCTGATATATGGTACTTTCTTACCATGTTGTAGATAGGAAAAATATCAAAAAATAAAAAGAAAAAGCTGAAAAAGAAACAGAAGAGGCAGGCTGAGCTGCTGGAGAAACGCTTGCAGGAGATTGAGGAATTGGAACGAGAAGCTGAGAGGAAAATCATAGAGGAAAGCATCACCTCCAACGAACACGACGATGGGTATCACCCCGAGGAGAAACTGAAGGAAGCAGTGCTGGAGGAGGTGACAGAAGATGAGGCAGCAAAGGATAACGGTTAGTATAACTGTGAGCAGGAGGAGGGCTGCTGGGCCGGAGTCCTGGACCACACAGCTTGGCTCTGTGCTGCTGTCTCAGATACTAGGGCGACTTTCTCTAACTCCTCGTTGGAGGTTATGGAAAGCAGCCTGTATTCCTTTTGTAAAGTATCTGCTAGGCATATGTTAACATTTCGGAAGTAGGCTGTCAAAAAGCGGAGACGGAAGTCTGAGAAACATAGTGTCTTTTTCCTGTTGAAGATGACCTTTTTTTTCTGTAATTAATGTTTTGCCTAGCTTTAATGCACCTCAGATCTTATTCTGAAACTGCAGAAGAATCAGTTAAGGAATGGAAAAATGGATCGGTAGTCTTGAAAAGGAACCAAGTTTTGTTCCTAGTACCGCCTGTGTCATGTAACTCTGGCTCTGAGGGGATCAGAGGCCTCTGGCCTCTAAGGCCATGGGCATGTACACACATGTACACCACACGTTTAAAATTAAAATCTTAAAGATCCAGTACAGTAAGCATCTCTGAAAAAAGCAATGGGGAGGGGGTTGAAACAAAAGTCCAATTTTACTCAGAATTTTACCCCAAGAGCTAACTTGTTCCTGAAAATAGAAGGCTAATTATTAAATAAGCAGAAAACAAGATTTTGTGGTGTCTTTTAGTTGGATGTGGTGTTAATCGCACCACTTAGGAGGCAGGTGGATCTTTCAGTTCAGTTCCAGCCTGGTTTACATAGGGAGTTGCAGGACAGTCAGAGCTACACAGAGAAATCCTGTCTGTAAAAACCAAAGCCAAAAAAATACTAAGTATCTCTTGTTGCAGAAGCTAACTAGTAGTACTACTGTGCAGGAGAGTCATTACTCCTAATCTTACTAGTACTAACTAGTACTGCTGTGCAGGAGAGTCATTACTCCTAATCTTACTAGTACTAACTGGTACTGCTGTGCAAGGAGAGTCATTACTCCTAATCTTAATCTGATATTTTTTAAGGTGAAGCTGAAGACCAGGAAGAAAAAGAAGATGCGGAGAAGGAAAATGCTGAGAAGGATGAAGATGATGTTGAACAGGAACTTGAAAACATAGACCCTACATGGATGGAGTCCCCTAAAGCCAACGGCCATATTGAAAATGGTCCCTTTTTATTGGAACAGCAGCTGGAGGATGAAGAGGATGATGAAGATGACTGTGCAAATCTTGAGGAATATAACCTAGATGAGCCAAATGCAGAGAGTGATTATACGTATGGCAGTTCCTATGAACAGTTCAATGGTGAATTGCCAAATGGACAACATAAAAGTCCAGACTTTTCCACATCATTATTTTCTGGGCCCTTAGAACCTGTGGCCTGTGGCTCTGTGCTTTCAGAGGGATCACCTCTCACTGAGCAAGAGGAGAGCAGCCCATCCCATGACAGAAGCAGAACAGTTTCAGCCTCTAGTACTGGAGATTTGCCAAAAAGTAAGTGTCCCTTTGCATCTGCTTTCCCTGGGCAGAGTCAGGCCTTTGATAAAGGGGAGAAGAGTTCCAGTACTTTCATCTTCAAGAACACATGAAATGCGTTAGCCGTGTATCGTGTGCCACCAGGGTTTCTCCTACTCCCTGAAATCCTATCCCTGAACATTTTCATTTATTGCTTCTAGTCAGGGGAACACCTGCCGTTTTCAGCTATACTAAGAGACAAGTTGTATTTTATTTGATGGTTGTCCTTGTTTATATGATTCTACTTTTGATAAAGCATGATGGCAGATTACAGATTGGATCTTAGGTTCTTATCTGTCGGGGGCCCTTTCTGCAGACCCATATTTTAGGAGCAAAGACCATGTAGCTAACTGCATACTTAAGGAAGGAAAGATTGGATATCACCGTTAATGTCCATTCTGACCCGTAGTGGAAAAGTTCAGAACCCTCCTCTGCCCTCTGCTGCCAAGACTGTTTTTAACACATGGCAAGTAATTGAGCCAGCCCACGAAACTGGCAGAAGATCCCACAGCCTCTTCAGTTGCAGCAGGCCAGCACCTCTGTCACTCACGGCTGTAATTAATCGTCCTACTTTGTATTGTGCTTACGTGGCAGTGCATGGTTTATTGCCTCACCCTTGTTTTAGCCAGGGAGTGGTAGAGTTCACATAAAATAAATACAAGTTCATTCTGAGCAGTGGCACTAGTAACTGGTATCTTCTCTGCTTTTATTGGGTCTACTGCAGCTTGATTTTTCACACATTTACATATTTATATGCAAAGTAATTTATGCAATAGCTTTTTGTTATTTTTCGCATGACAGTTTAGAACAGTGGTTTCAAATATAGAAAATAGAACCCCATCTTACAACCTAATCATCATGGAACTTTAATTTCTTAACCTCTTTGTGCCTCAATTTCTTCTATTAAAGGGAAGCAACAGCCACATTTAGTGTTGTTACTTTTGAAAGCAAATGCTATGTATTATTAAATTCAGTCCCTGAACCTTGGTTATTTAAAGTCCCCTAACAGGCATACTCTTTACTGCTCTGCCAGATTGATAGTATCTGAGGCTCAGGCACAGTGGGCAGCTCATGGGTCTTGTTTACTTGTTTGATTTCACCTACCACGTTATTATTGACTCATCTGGTGAGCCAGGGTAGTTAGGGATAGGTTAGGGCATTATGAAAAACAGAATTTATGATTGTAATGAGCGAGTAAGGAATGGTTCTAATTTAGGCAAATCTAAAATTCCATTGCAAAAATTGAGAGCTTTCACGTAAAGAACACTTACTTGCACACTGTCAGAGAACTAGTTTTATTTCTTGATTGGTAGGATACTGTACAGCTAGCTAGCTACCTTACCTGCTTTGTCTTGGAAGGAGTGCGAGGTGTAACTCCTGCTTGGGCCCTGCGGTCTCCGCACAGCAGCCCGTCTTCCTCTATTTGCAGTTTCTGTTTACTTTGCTGTTCCTTTGGGAAGTTTACCAGGTCTATACATCTTAAGTGTTGATACCACCATGACCTCTGTCCTGACATTGTTCTTCTTATGCTGTAGTCTTTTTCTCACTTACTGTGCCTGTCCATGATTTCCTTTGCCTGCTATGGCATTGATGGCTCAATCCCTGTTGACTGACTCAATTTCTACTGAGTCATAGCAGCATGTAGGGCCCAAGGAGAAAGTGGTAGATCTGCCCCAGTGCTGCCATTCGCAGTGACAGTGGGGATGCTATGGATCTTAGCTAAAACACGCCTGTATTGTGTTGGTTATCTTCATGCCCATTCTTTTCTGTCATATGTGGTGGTTTTTGTCAAGTCACTTGGGAAGAAGGAACCTCAATTGAAGAATTGCTTTCATTATATTGGCCTGTGGGCAAGTCTGTGGGGGCATTTTCTTAATTAATGATTGATGTGAGATGCCACAGTTCTGGGCTGTACTGGAAAGTTGAACAAACTGTAGGGAACAAGTCAGTAAGCAACAATCCTCTCTGGTCTTTGCTTCAGTTTCTGCATCTGGGTTCCTGCTTGAGTTTCTGTTGTGATTTCCCTCAATCATGGTCTGTATTGTGGATGTATAAGCCAGGTAATCTCTTTATTCTTCCAAGTTGGTTTGCTCAGTGTCCTATTATAGCCTTCTGTAGAAGGCAAACTAGGTCACCCTTGCCAGCCACTTCACACAATAGGATCTTCCCTGCCTTGGCCCTCAGGTCCAGATGGTTGTGTGGCTGTATTGTTTCAGGACATTTTGGCTTATTTCTGTGTATTGTGCAGTTCCTGACTTCCTTCCAAATCACTCTTCCAGTTTTCAGATCAGTTCCTTTGTTCCTAATTCTTCACAGCTTTTCATGGGGTCCAGCAGTCATCTCACAGTGCTACTGTGCCTGTGAGCAGCGCAGCAACCAGCTAAGGCACGGAAATGAAATTGTAGGGCACCTCTGTGCAGTAGAGTAGTCACACTGAGAGTCTCGCTCAATAGATAGCTGTATGTGTCCTCTACTTACATTCAGAACTAACATTTTGCCATGGTATATGTATATTTTATAGAAACTGCATGCTTGCCGCGGACCGTCCCTCTCGGAGACCACCACCCACGGGGGACCAAGGTGAAGGATAGGATAGTCAGGATACGATGCAAGGGAAATGACAGACAGACACACTGTGTAGTGAAAATCTGCTGCAACTTTACTTCTGCAAAGCTTCAGTTTTTGTACAAAACAGATCAAAGAACTTGGCAGGTGCATTACATCACCCCACTCAGGGTTCCAGACATAAATCAAGATTAAGCATAACCAAAATAGAGCTTCTTCTACGTGCTCCTTTCTACGTGTTCCCCCTTCCGTGCTCAAGATGTTGGCAAGGACTTTTAGTTTTGTTTTGTCTTTTAGAATTCTGTCTCACACCATTATTTACTTTCTACCGTGGGTGACTAGTTCTCAGGGTCCTGTGTTTAGCTTTCCATCTATATAGTTTTTATTCTTTGTTCCATATCTCCTAATAGTTTTCTCATTTTCTCATGATAGTTCTTATACCAATATATTAAAACTAGTCTCATGTTATCAATAATTTCCTTTCTTTCCTTCTTATTATAAAGACTCCAGGGTTTCTGAGATCTAGCTAATCTTTTCATAAAGGGGAATTTTCTCTAACTCTCCTTTTCTTCTCTAAATCTGATTCACCTTGATGATTCCCTCGTAACATATTAACCTTAGCCGCTTCTGTTTCATAAATAATAAAGTTTCCCAGGCTCATGTGGCGTGGGGCATACTTCAGTTCCTCAAGGACTGCTTTATTGAACAGTGGAGCCGAGCCAAGGACGTACTTTGATCTCTTGGTAAGCGGTCAGCTATAAACAAGAAAGTTAAGAAATACAGAGAAAGATCAGGCAAGGTGTCAGGAGGGCTCGCTCTCAAGGCCATCTCCAGATACGAGATTTGCCTAGGGCATCAGGTCCTCTCTGGACTGCTGATTGCCAGGGGGACCACCTGGGGCTTCGCTCCAAGAAGCTCTAACCCCAATCCTTCAGCAGGCAAAAGCCAGCGCAGAGGCATTTTGTCACTACACGGCAGTCACTGCTGTGGACGTGGCACATGCTATAGATATTAAGGATACTTTCAAATATTTAAGCACGTATTGTCTGAAGAATTAACTAAAGTTTTTTTGTTACTCAGTCCATTCTCAGTTCTCCTCTTTAGTTTGAAAATAGTTTTTTATTTTCCCTGATCCAAGGTATGGTAAAACAGTGTACCCTCCCTCCCCCTCCCCCCGGAAGTAAGCAGTGGTGTGAGTTTGTGCTGGTTTTTGCCATTAGAGCGAGATGTACACATTATAGAACTGTAAAAAACATGTCAGGGCCAAATCATGATGTTTGAAGAACTTAGGTGCCAGGTGAAAGGATGTAGCCTTCCAAGTACCTTGATAGCTCTTGACAGTTGAGATGAGGAGATTGTCTTAGGTCATTAGCTGCTAGAACAGCCACGGCAGCCAGTGGACATCTTGTCTTACGGATCCGAAGGGCAAAGGCTCAGAGCAGAGTGGTCTTGTGAGTTTGGCTGCTGGGTCTCTTTGGAGTCCTTACTCCATAATCCTTTTAGTCGGTCCTGATCAGGTTGCCATGGGATGGACATTGTATTTTATCTCTTGAACCTTAGGATATTCTCTATCTAGAAATACACGTGTCTTTTAAAGCATATCCCATTATCTTCTCCCTGTTCCCCAAAGGATCTGACCAGCTTCTGTTTCTCACATAGCTTGATACTCTGAATCATCCCTCCATAAATACTGAGCATTCCTCATTGTGCTTCCAAACAGCCTGCTGATGCCTCTGGGCCACCCCAGCTGGTGGCCTTTTAAAACTTTTGCAGACTGTGAGCTGGACTGTGATAAGGGTCTCTGAAGTGCCTGCCTCTGCCTGGGAGTTCTTTCTCCTGCTCTTGCTTTGTTCAGTACCGGTCCTCCCAGAAAAGTTTTCTCGGGGCTGGCAAAGGCGCTTTTCCTCCAACCCTCGTAACATGGATTCAGTCCCCAGAACACACAGTGCGCTTGTTCTCCCTGTGTCACCGTGCTCCTCCCTCCACCTTCACACAGGTGCCGTGCTCCTCCCTCCACCTTCACACAGGTGCTGTGCTCCTCCCTCCACCTTCACACAGGTGCCGTGCTCCTCCCTCCACCTTCACATGAAAAAGGAAAAATAGAAGAAAAGATTTTCAGCATTGCTTTCGCAACCATATGTCTTCTTAGTTTGTTTTTCTTTGTGGCAGGTAGTTTTCTGGTATGTTAATATGAATTGCTTGTGTGCTTGCATTATTACCTATATCTTCTCTTTTTGTCTCTGCCTCTCTCGTCTTTATGAGACAGGCTTTCTCCATATAGCGCTGGTTGTCCTGAAACTCAATCATGTACACCAGGCTGGCCTTGAACCCAGATCTCCCTGCCTTTGCCTCCTGAATGCTGGGACTAAAGGTGTGTGCCATCACTGCCTGGTTATTGCTGGCTGTATTTTCAACCAGTGTATGACATGAGTTTCCTAATTCTAGTGTGTCTTTTTACTGTGTTCTGGCACCATAATGGCATATAAAAAGGGCCTTGGTAAGTGTTCGTCAAAGGAATTGATCAGGTATCAGCATTGATTGTCCTAGTTCTGACCCTCGTCTAGACAGAGGCTGTTTGTACCTTTGTCTTAGCGTATTTTAAACATGTAGTGCTTAACCGAGTGATGTCGGCCGTCTCATCACCTACCATCTTGCTTGACAAAAGAGATCGGATTTTGAGAAAGTAGCTTCAAATTCCAGTGCTTCCTAAACTAAAACCTGCCATTTTTATTCATGTTCTAGTGGAGGCAGAGAAAAGTTAGCAGCTTTTCATTTTGGAAGGGAAAGAGTGCCAGTAAGTCATTTGTGTTAGCATCATCATCAGAAAGAAAGGCTGTGGCAGGTCACTGCGGGGTGAGTAAATCTAAGCAGTGTGAGTCCAGGCACACTTGGGAAGGAGTTTGCAAAAGGTGTGAGTGCATCTGTGTTCAGTGCGTTTTTTTCAGTGCTGCAGTCACGGCCCTCCTCTCACATGGAAACTGAGACACTCGAGAAAGAAAATCAGAGACACACAATTATATCTTATCACCTCTTGTGTTCTCATACAATTAAATTATTGAAATAAATTGCCTATAATTGTTTAAGGCATATTGTAATCTGAATAGCTTAGTTTGAATAACAAAACTAGAGGATAATAGCATGTTACCAGATTTAGTGTAGTGAGCATTACAAATGTTAGCTGCAAAGAAACTATTTAAACACGTGGCAATGTTGTCCTGAAAGTAGACTTCCTCTAATGCATTTGAATCACACGGCTTTTAGAGGTGTCTTTAAAGACAACCAGTAGGAGAAATTAGTAGATTACGAACTACCTGCTTCCCTGGTACCGTCATCCGCCAACCCGGCTACCTAACCTGAAGTCTAGCACCGAATGTCTATATAGTTTCTTCAGTGCCTGCCTACTCACTGACTAAAGCAAAATTAAGTCCTGGCCATTCAGGCAGATACTGTCCTGACTGGAACATGCATTTCTTTGGGGGCAGAGGTTATTCCGTTTCATTCCTTCCTGAAAATAGTCTCAAAGACTTTGTCATTTGCTAGGCTTGCAATTCATAGGTGTCGAAACTAAGATTTGAATTCATTTGAACAAAATTGTTCTTGACAGTGGGGGAGGTGGTGTTGCAGGTGTGTCTCCAGCCAGGCTCCTCCATTGGTCAGAGTACTGTGCTTAGGTCGGAGCACTGCCTTCTCTTTCATTATCACTATTTCCTGAGGGTCTGTGTTTCTTTTATTTTCCCTAGCTCCTACCTAGTCTTTGATAAAACCAGGTGTTTTATGTGACCACCCTCATGCGGGGGGTGGCAGGAAGAGACCTCTCTGCCTGTCTGGCCCATGTCAGAGTTCAGACCCTGACCAGAGTTGAGACCCTGTGGCCTGCCTCTGGTTTGTCTGGATGGTTTAGGTCCTGGTGGCCCTGCTTTGGTCTGCCCTGCTGTTATGTTAGCAAGATTGACCTTACCTCCTCTATGGGATTTGCCAAGAAACGGAATCCCCTTGAGCACTATGGCTCCTCAGTTCAGTACACTGAACGACACAGGACACACAAGCATTAACTTGGCGTGACAAAAATGACTCCCCAACAAGGGCGTTAATGTTCTGCACTGAGCTGAGCTTTCTCAATAGTCTTCATGGTCTGTAAATTCCAATTCAATATGACCAAAAATGTGAGCATGGAAGGGTTCAGATTAAGTACAAAGATGAACGTGCTGACCTACGTTAACTGCTTACAACATAGCTAAGGCTGAGCTGAGAACTTTCCTGAATTCAGTGACCCTAGGCCTGGGCCTGCTATAGGTCATATATATATATGTGTGTGTGTGTGTGTGTGTGTGTGTGTGTGTGTCAAATCATCTGAGTCTGCCTTAATGGCCTACTTCAGCTATTGAGACACTGGTTTGGCATCTTCCTATTCAAAACTAAACCACTAAACCATAAAAGATAGCCTCTGCCTATAATCTGCTTTTGCTTATCAGTTGTCAAATAACACTTGATATCTTTGTTTTTTTTATTTTTTATTTTTTTATATTTATTTATTTATTTATTATTTAAACAGTATTCTGTCTGCTTATATGCCTGCAGGCCAGAAGAGGGCACCAGACCCCATTACAGATGGTTGTGAGCCACCATGTGGTTGCTGGGAATTGAACTACAGGACATTTGGAAGAGCAGGCAGTGGTCTTAACCTCTGAGCCATCTCTCCAGCCCCCATTTGATATCTTTGAATGTTCAGTTAAGGAAGCTGTAGTAGGGAATGCTCTCAGTGTTGAGGTGGTATTCGTGGTCACATGGCATTGGTGAACTGCATACTGCTCAGAACCGACTGGTTACCGGTGGTTATCTTTAAGTGGCTTTAGCGTTCCCGCAGGATTTGGGTTTACCCCACAGAGAGGCTGTACTTGGCAAGCACTGTGCACGCGTGCTAGGCTCTCGTCCTGTGCTAACTGTCCTGCTGTTTGCTCATGGCAGCAAAAACCCGGGCAGCTGACCTGTTGGTGAACCCTCTGGATCCTCGGAACGCAGATAAAATTAGAGTAAAAATTGCTGACCTGGGAAATGCCTGTTGGGTGGTAAGTAGAGTTTTCATTTTACATTTTAATCATGATTTTGTGTGAGGAGATGCTCTTTTTTGAAACAGTACTTATCACATCTCTTCCTTTTCAGCACAAACATTTCACAGAGGATATCCAAACACGTCAGTATAGGTCCATAGAAGTCCTGATAGGAGCCGGCTACAGCACTCCGGCAGACATTTGGAGTACAGCATGCATGGTAAGAGCCCCCTTTGCCACTCTCTTCCCTAGAAATGACTTCTCTTTAATGCTCTTGATGGGGTAGAGTCTTGCTTTTAGTCTCTGGAAGTTTCCGTGCATTTCCGGCTCCCTGTCACATCGAGGGGTAACGTCAGATGTCTTCTCACAGGAGAGGGTGACTGTACTGGGAAGCTTGTAGCGCTGACAGGTGACCTCTCCCAGAGCTTCAGGAAGCCTCTTTCTTCTTCGTTGCTTTCTTTCTAACTCAAGAGTTCTGCCTTATTTTCTGGCTCTCCTGAGACAGCAATGGTGGCACAAATGTCCTCAGTTTGAGTCTGTTTCTCCAGGAACGCAGTGGTCCTCTCCTGGTGGCAGCAGGAACATCCCTTTGACTTGGGCATTCTAAACTAAACCCAGAATCGGCACACATCATGTAAACAGGTGTGTGTAACTGTATGTACACATATATGCGCGTGCATGTGGAGGACAGGGATTATTCTGGTTTTCTTGCGACAGGATAACTCATTCTAGAACTCTTGATTAGGTTTGGTTGGTCCGCTTCCCTAAGTGCTGGTTTTACAAGCGCTGATATACCAGTTCTGGAGATGAAACTCATGGGCTTCTATGGCAGACACTTTACTAACTGAGCATCTCTTCATCATCTTCAGCTCAGTATCTTTTTATTTGTTTCATTTTTGAAATGTAGCCCAGACTGGTTTGAGTGCTGAGATTCCAGGATTGCTGCCATTTGCCCTAAACTGTGAATTGAGAAGCATGCATTGTTCCTCACTCATAAGCAAATACCAGGTTGTCTTTCACCAAGTTCAGCCAGTTTGGCACATTCCTCTCAGTCAGCTTCTTGTTGTTCTTTGGTGGGAAAGGTGTCATGTGTATTCGTGTAGTTTCCAGTGCTACCATGTTTATCCTATTTAGTATTACTTAATTTTATTGCAGTTCTAGGGATGGAGCCCAGAGGTTCACACCCAATAGGCAAGTATTCTTCCTACTGAATCACACCCTCAACTCTTGCAATCACTTTTTAAAGAAATTCTCTTTGAATATCTAAATGAAAGGGTTCCCATACAGGGCTTAGTGCTCATCTTCTGAAAGGGGAGAACAGGGTAAATATTATGTTTACCTGTTGTTCAGAACTTAATCATTGTTTGAATCTTCTGTATTTTATGTCCAGTAGTGCTAATATAAAAAGCATTTTAACCATTTCAAATTTTTTGGTCAGATGTGATGGCACACGTCTTTAGTCCCAGCACTTGGGAAGCAGAGACAGGCAGATCTCTGTGAGTCCAAAGCCAGCCCTAGTCTCCAAAGCGAACTCCAGAACAGCCAAGGCCATAGATGCCCCCCCCACCCACGTGTGGTATGTCTGTATACCCGTTGTACATGCCTGGTGTCTGATTCCCTGGGACTGGTGTTACCACTGATCTGCCTTGTTTACACTAGGAACTGAACCTGGGCCCTCTGTCTTAGCAGCAAGTGCTCTTAACTGCTGAGTCATGTCTCCAGTCCAGTGTAAAAGCATTTTGTTAAGCAGATAATGCTAGGTGATGTGAGAGACATGAGATGCTTTTATCATTATCTGAGATGATTAATGTGCCCAGATATGAAATACGATGCCTTCCTAGGTTCTTGTTCTAATAATTCCAGAAAATGAATTTAAAATTATTTAAAAATTTTGTTTTTCAGTGAGATCCTAAAATCCAGATATAGTAGCTGAGAGAAGCTACTGGCCATGTGATAGTTAACTTTATTTTCAGGATCGGTGTGGAGAGGTTTTTGCTTTGCAGTGTGAGGGTAGAGGGAAGGCAAAGGCCAGATTAGAAGGAGAGGATGCCTTGACCAGATGGGCTGTGTGTGCTGGGCAGGCCCTGGCAAGGCCAGTTTCCATTTGTCCATTTGTCCTCAGCAATATGGAAGTCCATGTGCCAGGGCTGCTGTGGGTCAGGCTCTGAGAACTCTGAACCCTGAAATCTTGTGCTTCCAATTTTGGATATTAAGGCTGGTGATATAAACCAGAAAAGCAGGACATCACAGGTATGTGGGTAGCAGTTGAGCTGTTGGCAGGCATCCTCTTATACCAGGCTGTCTCTGTCCTTGTGCTCTGCAGTCTTCTGACCATCGACCACGCTCTTGCCGTGAAGTGTTTATACATCATGAGACACTAAGGAAATGCTGACTCTGTCTTCGTTTGTCCCAGTGCTGTTGGGGCTGCTCCGAGGTTGTTGCCAGTCCAGTTCCCTCCTTACAAGTCACAGAGGAGGAACCAGAGCTTGTTCACCTTTTTCCCCCTCTGAAGTTTAAATTTGCCCAGCATTGAAAAGGCCATAAGTAGTTACTGCAAAATTCATAGCCCTTCCAGTTTTACAAGTGGTATAACTTGACCAGAGGCTGCATTGGAAACAAAAAGTTCTAGGTGTGATGAGGCCCCTACTGCTGTTGAGAGGACAGTTTGGGCTCTGTAGCTGGATAAGTACAACCAAGAAAGGCAGCAGGATCTCCCAGTTCATGGCCTTTGGCACCTTGTGGGTATAAATGTGTAGTGTATATCAACATGAAGTCTGTGTGCTCACTGCTACCTCTTTGTACACAGTGTCTTTGTTTAAATAGGGGAGCTCTTGTGTCCCCATGATGAGTCCTCGTCACAATCAGAATGAAAAAACAAAATTTTAATTCTGACAAATTTCTCTAGACTTCTCCAGCAAGGTCAGGTCATGACATGTTATCCCTGAAACTTAGAACAGCGATGAGAAAAGTCCTCAAGGGACTAGACTAAGGAGAGGAGGAAGATTCCAGAGTTGCCTAATATTGAATACTAATAATAGAACTTGTGGTGGAATAGCTTAGTATATCGATGGCAATAATGTTCCCTACTGGGCTGGAGAGATGGCTCAGCGGTTAAGAGCATTGCCTGCTCTTCCAGAGGTCCTGAGTTCAATTCCCAGCAACCACATGGTGGCTCACAACCATCTGTAATGAGGTCTGATGCCCTCTTCTGGCCTGCAGGCATATACAGACAGAATATTGTATACATAATAAATAAATAAAATATAAAAAAGAAGACATTTGATTAAAAAAAAATAATAATGTTCCCTACTTCCAAAGCTGCTAGCATTAAAACATTTTTGTGACCACAGTGGGGAGGGCTGTTTTCATTCTAACATGTATACCCTGCTGTATGTCATATTTATTCTAACATGTTGTTTGCCCTGCCATATGTCATATTCATTCAGGGATCTATTCTTCCTTTCTCTTCTTTTTTTTTTAATTCTCTTTTTGTTTCCCTCTTTTAAAAAAAAAGATTTATTTTTATTTTATGTGTATGGGTGCTTTGCCTGCATGTATATCTATGCACCACATACAGGCAGATTCCATGAAGGCCAGAAGAGGATATCAAATCCTCTGGAATTGGAGTTACAAAAGGTTGTGAGCCTACCATGTGGGTGATGGGAAGTGAACCTTGGTCCTCGGAAAGAGCAGCCAGTGCTCTTAATCCCTGAGCCATCTCTCCAGCCCCAAGCTCTTTTTTTATTAATCGTTTCATTGATAGTCATCTTTAAGTACTATGGAAACCCGAGTGCTGTTCAAATAATCATCTTCTTAAAAAAAAAAAAAGTATCTGATAATATCAATGCTGGGCAAAGAGAAGCACATTGAGGGTTCTCCTTAACCCGGACCCCAGTGGCTTCTCCAGTCTTTCATCCTCTTAGGGCTCCAAATTTCCCTCCTGGCCTGCAGGTTATTGGATGGTTTTACAATCATGAAACAGTCTTGTCCACTTGGAATTGGGGCCAAATAAATAATTTTCTTTCTCAGAGGTTGGTTCAGCTGCCATGATTGTTAATTGGGTAGCTGGGGTGTGTGTTCCCCAGCCAAGAGTCTGTGTGCACTGTTGCTGCAGCTGCACTGCTGGCTGTCAGGTTGTCTTGTGCTGAGATGATATTGCTGTGCCCTCTCAGACCCAAGTCTGCTTTGGGACCTCCTTCTCAATCAGGATGTAATTCGTGTATTTAAAATTAAGGGAGTGTGGCTGTGCTGTTAGTTGGACAGCTGTTACCTGGTACATGAGCCTCCAGGAGCCTGCTCGGCACTCTGGCCATTAGGAGAGAGAGGGGATGACTAATGTTGGGAATGCTCTTCAGCAGGAATGCGAAAAGCAGTCTTGCGGAAGGAGAGACGTTGGCATGGTTGCCTGTTCACCAGCATCAGCAAGCAGGAAGAGCTTAACCACAGTAGCATTAAATCTGGGAGAAGCTAAAAATGGGAGTTTAACCTTTAAAAAAAAGTTTTCATTATCAGCACAGTAGCGGTTGCTGTCTTTGCATAGCTCACAAAACCAGATTCCTGTATATGTAATGAAAAAGATAGTTTGTTTTCTTTTTTTCCTTCTTTCCTTTTTTTAAAAAAAAATAATAATAATCAGACTTCTGGTCCTGAGCCTTTTTCTGAGCAAAGTAAGTAAAAATGAGTGGACTTCTCTTCACGCTGATGTTCTGAGGGGTAGTAGGTAGCAGCGTGAGGGCTTGGAGGGTAGAAGAGAAGGGAGTCTTGGTTCTACGTGCTCCTCTGGTTGAGTCAGAGATGAGTAAACTGATGATAACCAAGATGCTGGAACTAGTCCTTGATCCTAAGTGCATCGAAAAAGCCCAGCAATATCTGATCTGATGGGCCTTGGACTCACAGGCCTGCCTGAGTTCCCAACTTAGCCTTATTTCACTCTGTGTAGAAGCTGTATGTAGTGTGCAGTGACCAGAGCTGCTGCTGACTGCTGGATAGCTCTGTTCCACTTCCTACAGTGGGAGGAGAGCCTCAGCTCTTCCCTCTCCCATGAGAAGACGTAAAAATACCCTTGTGGCTTCTGTGAACTTTTCTGGAAGAAAGGAAAACTAGGGGTTGGGCTTTTCTAGGATGTTCTTTGGTCTGCTTGTGGTTCTCTGCAAAAGTAGGCTTCCTCTAGCCAAGACCTGCCGGCTCTTGAGCCAACTCTGAAGTGTTCAGCTTGTCGTGTGTTGTGTCCTAGGCATTTGAGCTGGCAACAGGAGACTATTTGTTCGAACCGCATTCTGGGGAAGACTATTCCAGAGATGAAGGTGAGTGCTGTTGCCCAGCGACTACCTTGGTGTGGATCTAGAGAATATTGTTTACTGTCTGACTGAAGCAGAGACAAGTTTTGCTTTGAGTTTGAAGCCCCCTAAGTGCTGGTGAATGGGCAGCACCCACCACAGTTTTCCTGGTCCATTTTGGTCACTCTGTGGCTCTGCTGCCCATTTCGCTGTCCTGTTTGGAAGCTCAGTTGAAAACCAGGGAATTCAGACTTGAATCCCTGCTGTGAACCCGCCCATCTTCATGCTTCCTTGCTTGCAATGCTGAGGTAGCCTGGGGTGAGCTGGCCTCAGTCACTGTTGCTGCTCCAGTTGGTGTCTGAGGCCTGCCATTCCCATGAACCTCTGCATGGATGTGCTGCAGACATTGTTGATTTGAATCTAGTTCTGATTTTTTACTAATTTCACTTTTCCCCTCTTCTTTTATCCCATCCTTCCCTTTGCCCTCCCCATTCCTATATCCTTTTTTTTTCTCTCCTCATAGACCACATAGCCCACATCATAGAGCTGCTAGGCAGTATCCCAAGGCACTTTGCTCTGTCTGGAAAATATTCTCGGGAATTCTTCAACCGCAGAGGTAGTACCTCTTCTCTTTGAAAAGCGCCACGATGCAGACAGAAATGGAATAGCTGCAGGAGCAGCAGTAATGGTGACCAAAGCATTGCTTCTAAATTCCAAAAGCAGCTGAGCAGAATGCCTGTGCTGGTCCATGCCGACGAAGACTAAGTGTGGTCTGTGCTGTGACACACTGACACGGGCCTCGTTCTGGTACTCAGGACAGCTGAGTGCCCTCTGGCTTTTAGTTTTGAATCAACTGGACAAATCCTGTTTTTGGTCATTCAGGTTGCGCTCCGTTTCTGTCTGCGCGGGCAGTGATAGTGTCTGCATGCAGTGTACTGATTAAACTGTCGTGTGTTTCTGTTTTGCTGGCAATGTTTCCCAATGCAGATCACATAGCATTGATCATTGAACTGCTGGGGAAAGTCCCTCGAAAATACGCTATGTTGGGGAAATATTCCAAGGAGTTTTTCACCAGAAAAGGTAACGGTATTTATGCAACACTGATTTTCAGCATAATCCTCTCCCAAAGGGAGAAGTAGTGCACTCATGTTTGGGCAGTGGAAAAGATCAAGACTTTGCAACTGGGGAATTCTTCTGAAGAAGGTACTCACGAAATAATCTGGAATCATCTGGTATCTGTGGAGCGAGACTTTTTTGAGAAAACAGGCTTCCAACAATCCTTACTGACTCCACACACTATCTGTTCAGATATCTGTGGAAAGGAGCTCGATTGAACTGAGAGGATGGCTCCTCTCTAGCCCCAGCACTCAGGACAATCTAGAGATGGGCTTCATATGTAGCCATGGGCATTTTCTTGGAGATGTCTGAGCTATTTGACACTGTGTGGGGCTGTGCTGTGCACATGGTGATTGGTCTTAATGATACCATTCTCACTGACCATCCCTTAGTCGTGACGTCGAACAGTTGTTTGCCATTTGTAGTCTCCAGGCAGTATCAATGCTTAAAAATACCAGGAAGCCCCAAGGGTCTCCCCACACCCTAAAAAACAACTCCTCAGAAGAAGCTGGGACTCTTTAATCTTAGCAGTTGGGAGTTGGGTGTAGAAGGTACGGAATTCAGGGCCATCCTCAACTAGGTTAGCATAGGCTACATAAGATCTTGTCTGATGACAACAAAACTCTCAGGTGCTGTTGCCTTTTGTGCCTCTTTGGTGTTGTTAATTGTTGTTACCAGCTTAGGTTCAGTTTTGTTTACATTCTCCTTTAAAGAAAGTTTGCGTGAGGACTGGGGAGAAAGCTAGTTGGTAAAGTGTTTGCCACACAAGCTTGAGCTGAGCTCAGGCCCAGCACTTACATAAGAAAGCATGTGCGTTTGTAATCCAGTGCCTGGAACCCTGGGGCTCTTCAGCCAGTCTAGCAATCAGCTCCAGGCCCCAATGAGAGACTGCGTGCGTGCGTGCGTGCGTGCGTGCGTGCGTGCGTGCGTGCGTGCGTGCGTGTGTGTGTGTGTGTGTGTGTGTGTGTGTGTATACACACACCCTCAGCTTGAGTAGGACATGGAAAGCCCAGTTGAAGTTGTTTTAACTCCCCTTCCTTTCTCCCATTCCTCATCTCTTTTTAAATTACATTTATTTACCTTCTGGGGAGGTCATATGGGGAGGGTGTACGTGGACCTCAGAAGACACTTTTGCTGTTGTTTCTTCTCTCCTTTTTAATTAATGCCTGTGATCTAGGGATCAGATTCATGCCAAATAGGCTTTGTGGCAAGCCTCTTCACCTAAGCGAGCCACCTCACTGGCTCCCCTCCGTGTGTGTGTGTGTGTGTGTGTGTGTGTGTGTGTGTGTGTGTGTGGTCTTTTGTCTACAGTCTACCATGTGTAGACATGGTTCCTACAGAACTGTGGATGGTTTTGAGCTGCCATGTGGTACTGAGAAGCAAACTTTTGGAAGAGCTCTCTAACTTCTGAGTCATCTCCCCAGTCCTTTTTCTTTTTGAAACAGAGTCTTGATCTGCTGATCCTCTAGCCTCAGCCTTCGCAGCGCTGGAGCCAGACATGGTGTGCTCCTTGGCTCCTGAGGTTTTGCAGCTGGCCTAATTCAGTATCTACAGCAGAGTGGCAAATCTTCCTACTCCTGCCTGCTGGAGTTTCTGGGAGATGTACCTGTCCTGTTGGGCACATTTCACATGGGCTTTTTTCTCCACACCCGTGCTCCCAGGACGTGTGTGTGTGTGTGTGTGTGTGTGTGTGTACAACCGTTTTTAGCACTTGTGCTTTAGGACTTAAGTGCTTAGGTTTGAAAGTGATTTGCAAAGAGAAAGTCAGTGTGTATTCTTGTCCCCCCACCCTTGGTATCTGTCTCAGGGTTAAAAACAGGGTTCCACTGGTTTTCTTTTTAAGCTTTATTTATTTTGTGTATATTTTATGCAGTGTTTTTTTCTGTCTACATGTACGTGTGTGTACACTACACATGTGCCTGATGTACAGGAAAGTAAGCAAAGGGCATCAGATCGCTGGGACTGGACTTATGGATGGTTGTGAGCTGCCACGTGAGTACTAGAAGTTGAACCTGGGTCCTCTGCAAGAGCAATAAGTACTCATAACCACTGATACATATCTGTAGTTCCTGTCTTTTAACTCTTGATCCTCTGGCCTCAGTACCACCATGCTGTGTACTTAATACTCTTTTTAATTTGGCGTTACTGTGGTAAATAGAATGATTTTTTTCCCATTTGGATATAAGAGAGACTCTGCGATAAGGCCATAAATCCCTTATGACCAGGAGTTTGGGTTTACAGAGTTGGTTGGTTGGTTATCACCATGGCAATCAGAAGAGGGTTGGACTTTGACAGATGTACAGTATTAGTAGGAGGAGTGAAGACATGTTATGAAAGTATTTCTATGAGAATGAGAAAATGAGTTTTGTTTTGTTTTTAAATAATAGGCTTTGTAGACCAGGCTAGCTTCAAACTCACAAAGTTCCATCTCCCTCTGTCTCCCGAAGGTTAGGATTAAAGGCATATACCACCATTCCCAGTGTAACTTGCCACAGTTGATAGACAAAAGCAGAATGTAAAGTTGTCATTTTGTGTTGAGCCATATCTGCAGCACAACACTCATGAATTGTTTACTAGGAATCCTTTTCTCTCTTTGTTCTAAGGTTTCCACCCCTACCACTGGTCTGAGGAGGCTGTGAGTTTCATGTGTTCAAATCAAGCATCAGGTGCAGCTTCTTACGAATTCCAGAAGTCACAACCAGTACCAGTTCTGGCCATTCCTTGACCAGACGTTAAAAACTGAACTGAATTTTGAGACAAGCAGCGTGGTTACTGCTGTTACCCAATTAAGGTTAATTGGCTGCATCTGTTCTTGGGTGTGGCCATTACCCACCTGAGACCATAAAGAAACCAGAATGTCCTGGGTGTGGCATATAGGAGTGAGGTTGGAGACTCACTTTGAATTGAAGGCCAATCTGGGCTACATAGTGAGATCCCATCTCAAAATAAGTAAAGGAGAGACCAGTTAGGATGTGTCCCAGTAGAAATCAGCACCACTGTGGATTTTGTTCTTTCTCTGTTCCCCAACAGGTGAGTGGCAACCCCCAGGGGGTTGGTGAGTAAATCAGTGATCCTCACTAGGCTGTTTTCTTTGACCATCTGTAGCCATTGTTTTAATGAATTTATTGTGTTAAAAATGAATTCATCAGCTGGGCAGTGATGGCGCACATCTTTAATCCCAGCACTTGGGAGGCAGAGACAGGTGGGCTCCATGAGTTCGAGGCCAGCCTGGTCTACAAAAGCTAGTTCCAGGACAGTCTCCAAAACTACAGAGAGGCCAGGCAGTGTTGGCGCACGCCTTTAATCCCAGCACTCGGGAGGCAGAGGCAGGCGGATCTCTGTGAGTTCGAGACCAGCCTGGTCTACAGAGCTAGTTCCAGGACAGGCTTCAAAACCACAGAGAAACCCTGTCTCGAAAAACCAAGAGAAAACAAAACAAAAAAAATGGATTCATCGAAGAGGATAGGTTACCTAAACTTGTTCCCACATGGAGCATCAACTACAGTGGGAACATGACTGTGCACATCTGACTTAGCTCTTACGATGTTATTAAATTCAGGGCTCCTATTAAATTGCTCACCAGGTAAAATTTGCCCCCAAGTCAGATAGCCTGACTTTGACACCAGAGCTCAGGGGAAGGAGAATGCCTACTGCTTGCTCTATGTACTCCTGCATGGCACATGTGTTCCCACACACAAAACAGATGCTTCCAGATGCTGCAGATGTAATAAAGGGACTAGAAGGATGACTCGGCAGTTAAGAGCACTGGATGCTCTTGCAGAGGACTTGGGTTTAATTCTCTGCACCCACATGGTGGCTCACGATTATCTGTAATTAAAGTTCAAGAGGATCCAACAACTTCTTTCAGCTTCCATGGGCTCTAGGCATACACATGGTGCATAGATATATATACAAGCAAAATGTTCATGCACAGAAGAAAAAAATGTTAATAAAAAAGTAAAGATTTAATTAAATTGAATTGAATATGTCAGAAGTGCACTGACGTTTACATGCGACAGCTCTGAGTTCTAAGGTGGGATAGTGAGGGAGGTGAGTTTCACAGAAACACACCACCACGAGGTTCCCGGTGCACATCTCAGGCTGGCCTCACACTCTTTGTAGTCCATATCTTTAATTTACATAAGTTGAAACTCAAGAATGTTTTAAACTTAACCTCCAAGGCTACCTGAAAAGTAGCTGACCTGTGAGAACTGTGAGGAGCAGAGCCTGTGGGCACAGGCTCCTCGTTGCTAGTGCTGACAGGCTTCATGTTGGCAATGTTCTGCTCTGTTTTCTTGGTTTCAAGTTTTAAAAGAATCAAAGATTCTCATATCATTCCAGCTTTACATCTGCACGGAGTGTGTGACTATCACAAGGCTTTAGGAACATGAGGAATACCTCTGGGAAGGAGGACATGGTCGGTGTGAGGCTAACTCAGAAACAACTGGGAACAGAAAACAGGCACAAACCAGAACAGTGTGACTACTCTAGCACGTCCTCTTGCTCACACGGTTTTGCCTGGCAAATGCAGGACAAAGGCCACCGAGGCAGTGGGCGATGGGAGTGCACGTGGATGCCGGCACAGGCTGCACAGATGAGTGCGGGTGGCCTTGGTTATTGTGTTGTTTACTTGTTAAGACTTGTCTTCTGTGCGTGAGCTGTTGTTTATGTGCACCATATGTGAGCCTGGTGACTTGTCTTCTGTGCGTGAGCTGTTGTTTATGTGCACCATATGTGAGCCTGGGGCCTGCAGAGATCAGGTGTCAGGTCCCCTGGAATTGGAGTATCACCATGTGGATCCCAAGAACTGAACCTGGATCCTCTATAAGAGTGACAAGTGTTCCTAACTGATGGTAGGTTTTAACGACTGTTTTGGTACTTAGTCTAAAGCTGTGTGCATTCATTGGGAACTTATGTCAAGACAGAATAATTAAATGTCAAGAAAGTTTCTTCTGTTACTAAAGATTGAGCCTCTTTTACAGTTACAGTGTGTGAACTGTAATCTTAACTGTTGGGCAGTGATGGCTGTCCTCGTTCTGTGGTTAGGCTACTGAAAATATACCTGGGAGGTGTTTGCTGCCTGGAGAGCTGGGTTCTAACTTGCATCTGCTTTCCATTTTCATCAGTATATCTGAAGTCCTGTGACTCTGTAGAGCATAGCTTTGAGACTTTTATCACATACATCACATGTAGGTTAACTTCAACAGGTATATATGCTTTATATTCAGCCTTTAGCCTCCATCCTAACCCTGATCTTATTTGACTATGTCCCTAGAGCTAGACTTCAGTGATTTTTCAGATTTGTTTCTAAATTTTTCTTAGTTTATGTGTGGTATGTGTGGGCGCCATGTGCCACAGCACATGTGTGGAAATGAGAACAACTCTGTGGAGTCATTTCTTTCTGTTACACTTCACAGGGTTCCAGTGACCAGACTCAGGTCCTCAGGCTTGCACTGTTTTGTGGCAAGCCCACTTACCCTTTGAGCCTCTAACCAGCCTTTGGATAGACCTGATCTTTACAAACTGTTTTTATTTGAAGGTCTTCCTTTTCCACTACTAAAATTGTGGGTCTGTTTCCTTACTAAGCCTAGAGATCTGATCTCCAGTATTGAAGCAGCACTTAACTTTGTTGCTAGCAGTTGGAAGCTTGTTTGTTTCTCACCTTCTTTTTAACCAGGAACCATCCCAAAAATTTCTTTGTGGAGTCCTGTGTATAGCATGGTGGTAAAAATTTCTTTGTGGAGTCCTGTGTATAGCATGGTGGTAAAAATTTCTTTGTGGAGTCCTGTGTATAGCATGGTGTAATTCTGCAGAGCAGCCACTGAAGAAAGTATAGAAAGAAAAGGGCCATAGGTGGAGGTGGGTGTGGGATTGCTGTGATTCTTGACTTGTTTTTTTGCATTTGTAGGAATACTATCTTCTTTTTATTTGGGTTTGAAAGTGGGGGGCCGGGGTATTTCTAATTGGTTTGCATGAGTGCAATAGTCCAGGCCTCTGATGCAAATCACCAGAGCACCCCTGCAGCAGGGGTTCTCGGCCCCTGGGGGGGCAGGAGTGTTGCATGTCAGAGAACCTGCAAATGAGATATTTACATTATGGTTCATAACAGTAGAAAAATTACAGTTATGAAGTAGCAATGAAATAGTTTTATGGTTGGGGGTCAGCACAACATGAGGAGCTGTATTAAAGGATCACAGCATAAAGGAGGTTGAGAACGTATTACAGCATGTGGAAGAGAAGACATACGAAGGCCTGGTATGGATGTGGTGGTCAGTTGACATAGTTCCTAGATGTGTAGGAGATGCACAGAAATGGAGTTGTTCACAGTGAAAGTGACCTGGAACACTCTTTTTTTACACAGGCCACCTCCTTACTGTTCATTTCTCTGCTGTGTCAGGGACATTGGGGGCTGGCAACACTTTCATAGTACAGGTGACACATGAGAAAATTTAACTTCATGTTTTATAGGAATTGTCCTTGAGGTCTTATATTTTATGACAAAATGTAGAGAAGAACAGCATTTGTTTTGGGTCTCCACTAGCTCCTTGTGGCTCTTTATCTAAATTTAGACAAGTTAGTTACTGTGTTCTTTAGTCACGCTGGCTGTGTGCATGTGCCTGTCAGATCGTGTAGCCCAGTGAGTGGACATCTGCACCGCCAGAGAAACTGATCAGCAATGTTCTAGGGGCACAGACTTCCTTCTCTGCATGGTAAGATGCAGTAGCATAAGGCCTTCAAGTAGTAAGCAGCTCACAAATTACAGCAGCACCCAAACCGAAGTGAGAGTGGCTCTCGGGTGGTGGAAATGCAAATATTCTGTATACTTTTGTACCTCAAGAAGCTCAGAGCTGTTTATACAAACTCTTAATCCGTTTACATCCACCTTGCTAGCTTGGACAAAATCATTAGTTCTTCCATGAGACTTGCTTATGAGGAGAGAACTAGTTTCCTTTGTTGTTTCCAAAGTTTTGAGAGTTAGATTGCCTGCTAAATTGAAAAAAGTCTGTCTGGACCAATTAAGTTCAGGGATGTGCAAACCTGAGCTTTTGTAATTGTGTGTGTCTTTTTCTGCAGGAGAACTGCGGCACATCACCAAGCTGAAACCCTGGAGCCTCTTTGATGTACTTGTGGAAAAGTATGGCTGGCCCCATGAAGACGCTGCACAGTTTACAGATTTCCTGATTCCAATGTTAGAGATGGTTCCAGAAAAACGAGCCTCAGCTGGCGAATGCCTTCGACATCCTTGGTTGAATTCTTAGCAGATTCTACAAATATAGCGTTCTGAGCTAGCAAATGTTTCCCAGTCCACTGGACCTAAACAGTGGCTCTCATTCTTTAACAGGATCACAAGTGAGCTGGCTCCACACTCAGACCTTTGTTTGCTTTGAGGTACTGTTGTTTGACACTTGGCTTTCTGTGCACCATGATCCTGGGGACGGGTAGTCTCTGTCTTCAGCTAAGTAGTTTACTGGCCATCTTCTTCTGGAAACAATAACATGTCTCTAAGCATTGTTTCTTGTGTTGTGTGACATTCAAATGTCATTTCTTTTTTGAACAAAAAATACTTTCCCCTTTGTGTTTTGGCAGGTTTTGTAACTATTTATGAAGACACATTTTAGCTGAGTATTATATAATTTACAATCTTAAGAAATTATCAGTTGGAACCAAGAAAGAATGAGGAAATACACAATTTTTTCTTCTGGCAAAGGGAAATCATTCCTGTATTATAGTGTATGTAACTGTTATTTTGCATAAATAGGGGACAAGGATTCACATTCAGAAAAGCTACCCAGTCCTGAGTGCTTCTTAGCATACATTGCATGTTGCAGATTTCCACTGCTTCAACAAGTTGCACAAACTTTTCATTCCATAACAGTCCAAATGGCTCTGGATTCGGTGCCACTTGAAAGGAAGGCTTTAAATTGTGGCACTTTAAAGGAAGAAAAACTTGGTTTTCATTCAAAAATTTATGCTATAATCTAGCAGTCCCATTTGTATTTTTTCATATTTTTAAAACTACTTTTTAAGAATAAGTCATTTCCACTTAAAATGTGATGGCCCAGTGCCTCCTATCAGCACTGTAAGTTAAATATGTAGATTAAATTGGACAAGAGAAATATGTTGTGTGTGGAATGAAAATAATAATATATTTTTGGAAAAGCATGATCGTGTTTGTCTAAAACACAAGGTGTGGCTTATAGTTTGCAGCACAGTGGACAGAACACTCCTCACAGCTTAAAGGTAACAGTGATCATGTTCATTCCATAAGCAGCTTTACTCGCTACAGCAGTTTTACTCCTTTTCATTGTCTTTCCATGAATGATAAAATAATTTCCCCTTTGCAGGCCGCGTACAATTTTAGTTTATGCAGTTCCTTAAAATTAATTGTAGAATTCAGGATATACAAACCATTAGTAGGCAATACAATTTTAGAATGTAACATAGAGAGGTATATTTAGCCTCTTAGAAGTCAGTGAATTGAATGTCCTTTTTTAAAAAATTTTTATTCATTAAGGTGCCTCGTTTTTCTTGACTTTGTTCATTAACATTTATCCATATGCCTTTGCAATAATTAGATTGTGAAAAGCTAACAAGTGTTGTAACAATAATCCTTTGTTTGGGGTGCTTGCACTTGTCTAAAAAATTAAAGTGTTTTGGGTTTTTTTTCCAGACATTGCCTTGGTCATTGCCCTGTATTTGCTCTCAGTAGAGTCACCAAAGCTAAAGGAGGCACAGATGAAGGCATAGGAGATCACTTGTGGATTTTAGGAATGAGGCTTCAGTGTGGATGGTCCCTTTTTTAAAACCAGCGTTTCATCATCAGTGCTCCATTTTCTTCCCTCCCACCCCTTATCTTTCACTCTGAGCAGACAAGACACATATCTTTTAGGAGTTAGCATTGTTGTAGCACACTCTTGTGAGGTAGAAGGTTCCACTCATTTATGTACTATGCATGCTGAGTTTTTCTATGAGGCTGTCCATGTAGATCCTATGACAGATGGTGGCAGTTGAGTGTTATCATCATAGAAACACTTGTATAAGAACCACAAAGTATATATTTATGTCTTCCCTATGTCTGAAAGACTTTTTACAATTTGAATGAAATTTGTCTAATGTAGTTTTAGCTCATGTTGGAAAAGAAAGCTAGAATATAATTTTAAGGTGGTTTTCCTGTTGAATACCTTAGCTACTTTACATACAAGAAGTTCTACAAAGAAACACATTTGTGATTGGGTACCAACCATATGGTTATATCAGATTCTTGGTAGCATGCTGATTAAAAAAAATACAAAGATTGGGTGTCGTGGTGCAGGACTTTAATCCCAGGGATGCAGAGATAGGTGGATTTCTGAGTTCTAGTCCGGCCTGGTCTACAGGCCAGCCAAGGCTAGTGAGATCCTGTATGAAAAGTCTGAAAAAAGAAAAGAGTCAAATATTCAGCACACTATAACCAACTCAGTATTTTTAGTTCAAAGACCCTGTGAAATCCTCATGGAAAATTATAAGCAGTAGGTCATGTATGATTCAGAAACAGCTAATCTGGCAGAACTCGCCAAAGAGGAAGTGGGTATTAAGAGTTCCAATGAAACATCCTTTTTAGGTGAG